ATATTATCCCAATCATACATGGAGTGTATTAAAGTCTCGTGTGTGTATATATATACACATATGTTTATACAAGGCATTTATTTACGATCTCTAAAATTAACAAACTCTCTCGTCTTCTTCGTGTATTCCAAAAGATCTTCTCGTCTATCTTAAAACAACCGTCCATAATGAAACACGAAGAGGACCGTCACAAGCAGTCTAGACAGAACTCGTCAAGTATCTTGCTCCCTTGTTGCTTCGTGTTACTTTTTTGTGTTCTATCGCCTCTTTTTTTTGTGCTTTCACTTATGCGGTGGGACAAAGTTATCGCATAAATCTGGAGCAGGATATAGAATTAGCTTCTATGAATTTCACGGTGCTTAATATCACAGAAACTCGTCTTAGTGCAAAGTGGGATTTGTCCATAAGGATCGACAAACATCGTCTTGGTTTTTATACATGTCTTCAAGAAAAATTTCAAGCTTCCTTTCTTTACAACCCCCACAAAAGTAAGCATTTTCTTATTTCTCTTTTTATACTCTTTTTATTTATATATCGGGAAGAAAAGAAAAACTAATTGAATCTTATGTATAATCAGGTACAGCATTGTCAAATACAAAGATTATCAGCTTCTTATGGTTTCAGCAGTTGTTTCTGACAAAAATATCAGCGGTTTGATTGGGAAAGACGTTATGGAAGATATACATAAGAAGCAAGTGTGTAACGCCTACCTCATCTTTCTTGAGTGTGTAACGCCTACATTCCACCTTTCTTGAGTGTGTAACGCCTACCTCATCTTCTCATGGTTGGAAAGGGATTTTGGCTGGTCGGAATCTATATTACTAGAAGGGCTCGGATGGATTGTTGGTGACGGTTCAAAAATCAGTGTATGGTCGTCTCCTTGGCTTTCGGTCTCAACTCCTCAAGCTCCAATAGGACCACCAAATCGAGATGATGTAAATCTGAAGGTTAGTGAGCTCATAAACCACGAATCAAACTCTTGGAACCTGGAGAAGATACGACAAGTTTTACCTCAATATGAGGGACAAATCAAACAAATATTTCTTAGCTCCTTTCGGCTTAGTGATACACTCGTTTGGCTACCTGATAAATCAGGGACTTTCTCGACAAAAACAGGCTATAACTTCCATAAAGTGAGGTGTACATCTTCACATGAGGAAACTTTTAACTGGTATGCTAACATCTGGAATATTGATACAGCCCCAAAGGTGAAGACGTTTCTTTGGAAAGCAAAACATAATTTAGCTATAAGGGGTATCACGTCTGATTTGAGGTGTAAGCGATGTGGGGGACAAGAATAACAGAGTGTGGGAGCTTATTCCGGCAAGCTCCAAACCGCAACTAGACGTGATCGTATCACTGTCTTCATTACTCTCAGGTTGTCGTACTATGCGTAACCTCCCTCCGACAGGGATAGTAATAGCACTCTACCCCTGGATTTTATGGCAACTTTGGAAGTCTTGTACTTGTTTGTTGTTTGAGAACAGAGCTTACACAGAACAAGAGGTGTTTCTGAAAATTCTAGTAGATTCTCGATCATGGCAAGAGGCTCAACAACAAGGGGGCCATCAGAAACACAGTTGGTCCGCCCCCTTCGTCCTAATCTTCACACCATATATTGTTTCGTGGATGCTGCTTGGAACGCGGCTTCATTGGATGCTGGTGCAGGTTGGATATTCAATTCGCAGAGGAAAGATACTCTGTTCCAAGGCACTGCGTCGTACCAGCTCGTTCCGTCGGCTCTGGTAGCAGAAGCTTTGGCTCTAAAAGCCTCAATTTACGCAGCTATATCTTCGTAGTTCAGAGAACTTGTTGTTTTCTCAGACTCTCAATCATTAATCGCTCTTCTCTCAACCGGAGATGTGATTAATGAGCTGAAAAGCCTTCTCTTCGACATTCGTTGTCTGTTGCGATCCTTTTCTTCTATCCTCTTTACTTATGTTCCTCGTAAGGATAACTGTATTGCAGATAATTTAGCAAATGAGGCACTTCGCTTTCTTGTTGCTTCTTATGTGTAAGAATAACTCTTTGTTTTAATGAAAAGTTTGGTTTGATCAAAAAACAAAAAAAATACATAAGAAGGAAGTGTAATTTGGATCGCGGTTTTCTCTTACTGATCAAAGCCAACAGATGACAGAAACTGTGAGTTATGCGTGCGATAAAATTACCTTACGGTTCGAACCTGGATCCGAGTTGAAGGCGACTCTGTTTGGGAACACCATTCAAGCTGCATCCACTTTTGACCATGTTCGCGTTCATCACTAGTTTTTGTTTTTCACCATCACATTGCTAAGTTTGCAAACATTTGAGTTTACTTAGGTTTTCTCTTCGGAATAATAATACTACTATTTTATTTTGGCTGAATAAATAATGATTATAAAAACTGAAACCAATGTTGGAAGTCTCCCAAACAGAAACCAATGTTCCATTTTTCTTCCTATGAGTTTATTGGAGTAAAAGAAATTTCTAAGGAAAAAAAAAACTCATTTAAATTTACCCACATGTGATTAACGAATTCAGGTAGCTATATGTTTCCAAGGAGACTTGCAAGATTCCTTTCTTACAAGACTTGTATCTTATATTGAACCAGTTAAAGAATGTTCCATGTTAGAGTAAAATATTAGAACATCTACATTGGAGACATTTTGTAGGTGTCTTTAAATTTAAAATTATTAAAAGTTGAGTAAAAGAAAGAAAAAAAATGTTTTTGGTTGAAATAATGGGGTGTATTAAAATATAAAATTAATAAAATTTGAGTAAAAAGAGGAGATAGTGGATATTTTTGGAGAGAGAATGTCTCGTGGAAGACAAAGTTGGAGAGAGAATGGATGAAAGTTGGAGTGTGTTTAAATATAAAATTAATAAAAGTTGAGTAAACGGATGAAAGAGAAGGTATAAAGTTGAGTAAAAGGAAGAAAGAGTGTGTTTTTAATATTTTTTTATTTAGAGACATCCACATTTTGTGTGCAATGTGGATGGCCTTAGTAATCTTATTATGTTGTTCTTCTCCGTGTATAGGGCTATGCCTTTATCTATAGAATGCTTCATGTTTATCCACCTTTTGATTGTAAGTCGAAACTAAGTAATATATTTATTTTTTTGGAGTTTATTCATTATGAATATCTTCAAACGACCAAGATTCGATAAGTTCTTCAAATCTTGGGAATCTTTATCCCTTCTTTTCTACGATTTTTATTTTATATTTATGAAACATCATAGGCTTTGAAAATAACTATCGAGATTTTTTTTGTTTGTTTGTGTGCAAAATACTCATTTCATTAAAAGTCTCTTACATCGGGTTTTTATCAAACCTTTCT